GGCATCAGATCAAGGTCTGCATTTTAAAATGAGCTTAAAAAATATATTTGTAAATGTTTGTATGTTTCATGCCAGGCATAAAGCAGCTGGCTAAGTACTTTGGCAGTTGTTTATCGCCTTGAACAGGCCCCCCCTGATTTATAGCAGTACCTCAAAGTTGTAAAAGGGAATTACAGGCTGGGAGCAAAGGTCATACTGACCATACTGACAATCAAGCTGCAAAAACACTAATTAAGAGTTGGTAAATAGTAAAATTTATTGTTTAACAGAAAATAATACCAGGTGCCTCCCATTAGACTCAGCCATATTTTCATAAAGTTAAAGGGCAAGAGCTAATAGGAACAGCAGCTGGCTGGGAAAGGGAGTTGTAAACTGAAGAGGCTTCTCTCTGAAGCTGTTTCCTTTTTACTTTGAAACTGTTCCTTTTCTTCTAAAAATCTATCTATGTTATGTATGAAATATATTGGCTTAATGTAATTATGCAAAGGATTTAGAAAGTAAGAAATGATAGATTCTTATGTTAGATTCTTATTTCATTGATGGTGTGTGAGAAGGTGAACCCAAGATCTCTGTTTAGACAAAATTTAATACCATGAGCCATCTGTTTTAGCCATTTGTTTTGGAATAAAGGGGCAGCAGGGGCCAAAGGTTATCTGGCAATTAAGGTGCCTGGTCGAGGCAAATATAAGATATATGGCTACTTGTCTGCCATTTATGGATAGAAGGAAATATAGCTCTTTGTCTCCCATAAAAGGTAATAGGAAATGGGTGTATCTTTTATGATTGGTTCTAGCAAACAGCCAATAGGAATTTCAACCAGGCTGATTGGACAGAGGCAGCCAAAGGAGGAGCAAGGGGGCTGGGCTGAGGAAATATAAGTGCTGGCCATCAGGGCTGGAGTGGGCAGAGCTTTGGTAACCATATACCACTGTGTCTCTCATTTATTTGTCTGACAAATAAATTATTATTTTAATTTCTCTATTGCTGCGTTGAATATTTCATTCCAGCTAAGCGTTAACCACAAGCAGGGTGCTACAAGGGAAGGGTCAGAGTAGGTTTACTATATTTCTGTCAGATGTAGCTCATGGTGGGGGTGCGGTTGGTGCCTCTTACCGGAAGGGTGTGGTCAGAGTTGTTTGCATGCATCAAATTGACTCTGTGAGCAGCCTCAGGCTTGCTGCTGCCTCATTCCTCCCCCTCTGTGACATCACTTCCAGGAAGCTAACACAGCAGCTCTGCCCTGCTGGGTGAGCCGCTTTTGATTTCCAGCTGTAGGACACAGTGCAAAACTAGTTTATATAAGGCTAAAAGTGTTCCTGAGATAGCCATTAATTATAACTAAAGCTGCCTCTATTGCCTGTAAGTCTTCCTTGCATGCAACATTTTTATGTTTCCTCCTGGCCAACAAATTTTAAGAGACAGCTAAAATAAATATTGGGGAAAACATTGCTAACTGCTTTGATAACAGTCCTTACCAATATTGTGAAAACAAATGGTTGGGTGTTCTGCCTGGAATTATAGCTTGTTTAAATGAAGACCAGGAGGGCCATAGTGATGGAAGCAGAATGAATAGAACAGAACCACACCTTGAATGCGGCAGCTAGACTGGTGACTGGGAGTGGCCACCGGGACCACATAACACCGGTCCTGAGAGATCTGCATTGGCTCCCAGTACGTTTCCGAGCACAATTCAAAGTGTTGGTGCTGACCTTTAAAGCCCTAAACGGCCTTGGTCCTGTATACCTGAAGGAGCGTCTCTACCCCCATCGTTCAGCCTGGACACTGAGATCCAGCGCCGAGGGCCTTCTGGCGGTTCCCTCGCTGCAAGAAGTGGGGTTACAGGGAACCAGGCAGAGGGCCTTCTCAGTAGTGGCGCCCACCCTGTGGAACACCCTCCCTTCAGATGTGAAGGAAATAAGCAGCTATCCTATCTTTGAAAGACATCTGAAGGCAGCCCTGTTCAGGGAAGTTTTTAATATTTAATGCTGTACTGTTTTTAACGCTTGATTGGGAGCCGCCCAGAGTGGCTGGGTAAACTCAGCCAGATGGGTGGGGTATAAATAATAAATTATTATTAGTATTATTATTAGTATTATTATTTATTTATTTCATGTACTGGAGAAGTGCATTGTGGATGTGAATGAGAGGGCCTTCTGTGTGATGCTGCTCTAGTGCTGGACCTTTCTCCTGAAGGACGTGTGCTTGGCACTTTATATTCCTTTCAGTGCCAGGTAAACCACCCCCTGATCACCCAGCCATGTTAAATTGTTGACTGGCTCTATTCCCACCAAGTTCGTTATACTGTCATTTAACATGTTCCGTTGATTAAATAGTGTACTGAAGGTTTTAAATTCTTCTGTTTCCTGCCTTGAAAGCCATTTTTGGTTGAAGGTGTGGTTTATCATTTTTAATAAATAAATAAATGGTTTGAAGTGGGGAGGGGAGAAAGATCACATAGGGCAAAAGAAGAAACACTTTAAAAAGCAGTAGGTTCATCTTCGTACAGGCACTGTACTGTTTGCAGCATGGCTTAGCATGCCTCATCCTGTTAAATAAATATTGTGACAGTTCTAATCCTAGCAAGCGGGATGTAACCAGGACTTGGATTTTCACTGAGGGCAAACAGTAATGGGTGCACTTTGAGTATTTCAAATAAGCCTCTAATTTAGATCTACAAAGTCAGCACTGTTTGTTAAATAAATACCCAAGTCATCTGGTACAAGGCCCTGGTTAAGGAAGATGTAGCAAACTAACAGATATTTAATTCCACCGTTGGCTGAGCACACTCCTGCGTGCCGGGAAGAGGTTTTTAAATTTCATTTAAAGCAACAGCTACGGCAACTAACAAATAAAAACAACACACACAAACAGATCCCTCTTTAACTAAGGCAATCCCTTCTCCGGGATTTTGAAGGCAATCAAAAGAGACAGCTCCAGCACGGCGAGGGAATTAGGTATCATTTAATTGCCGAAAGGAAAATGACAAATGCTGGTTCATAACTAACACGCTATAGCCACTTTGTAAAATGTTAATTGGAATACCTTGCACTTCTCCAAGGCCTTTAATGAATTAATGGCGATGCCACTCTCTATTTATGGGCCAGTTAAATTCCAAGGCAAATCCATTTACCTCTTGTATATTATTATTAAACTTCATATGTCTGTTACATAATCAATAAGCAGCCCTTTCATTAATCTAAATGAAGGCCTTCCAGGAGGCCATAACGTAAAAGCTGGAGCCCCTCTCTAAAAGGGCTTGCTACAGCTTGGGTTTTGTGGCGCTGCCGAGTTCCTCCTTTATCTAGGAACTTACAGTGCACAATTACAGCATTATTTTTTTAAGAACACACACACACACACACACACACACACACACACCAAGTTTTATTGCAGGGAAATATTTGTCAGCATCTTAAAAAACCCATCTCCAGATGGCTGGGCTGCTGTAGAAACACGCAGTTTTATTGTTTACTATGCTCCACATCTCTCTCAATTTGATCTGGTTGCATGCACCTTTCCCATTGCTGGCAGTCAAGAGGGTGATTTAGTTTCTCTGTAAGCTGTTTTCAGAACTTTGCCAGGGATGAGGGGGAAGAGCTTACTGATGGTAAAATCAGCGCTTCAGCGGCCTTAGGTTAAAAGGCAAAGGTTGGATCCAAACAATTGTTAAGTTGTAAATATTTGTGATGGGTCTAACTTTTGGAATTCTGAACGTTCAGCCCCGATGCTGGAGGACGCAGCAAAAGTAGGCTAGCAGGTGAGGGGGATGACTAAACTATCTTCCCTCTTCCAATTTTTTTTGGGGGAGGGTCAATTTTGAGTGCGGGGGTGCAAAACTCACTGGCACTTTCCAATATTCTTACTGTTGTTGGCTACCAAGTTTAAATCTCCATAAGTGACACAGGAGCAATGCTACGTGAATGTATAGGCCCAAATCTAGCTGTAGCTAGAATAATTTGTGTTTCTTAATGTACAGGGAGGGGGCTGGGAATTTAATTGGATTGGTTTAGAATGATTGATTGATGTATGGTGGTTGGGAAGTGAGTTTTCTTTTGACTAATTGTCTTTCATGTTATTTAAAAAATGTTGAATTTATGCTTTTCAGTTGAATTTCATCTGTAATATTTTACTTGTTTAACTGTTTGCTATGTTTATCGCGGATTTTCCTTGCGTTTTTGTAGCCATCTTTTAAGTGTAACATTTATCTTGAGACTAAAGAGGATGCTCCATTTAGTTGTTAATTATGCTTTCTAGAATTAAGGAATTCCCTGGTATTTTATTTTATGTTATTTGCTGTTTGTTTAAGATGTTTTAGCCAATGATGCAAACTGCTTAGGGTTGATTTAAATATAAGCAGTATACAAATTGTGCAAATAAATAAATGTAGTATAAATAATAAATAAATGTAGTAAATAATTGACAAAGATTAGACCAGAGACAAACACCAGCCGGCTCCCTATCTCCGCGGAAATCCGATATCATTAGATACGAACAGACTCAACCCTCACTCACAAATCAAGCAAAAGCAGTTGTTTCCTTGAAAGACGCACCCAACCTACCCCAGAGCCTTAAAATTGTCTCCTGGAATGTTAACGGCTGGGCGACAAAGCAAATGGATCCTGAAGCAATGAATCTCATCTCTTCTTTCGACATTGTATGCCTCCAAGAGACCTGGTCCCAACAAAGTATTGTTCTCCCAAATTATTGCTCCTTTAGCTCCTGTGCTCGTAAACTAACCAACAGGGGTCGCCCCCAAGTTGGCCTCGCATGTCTTATTTCAACCAGCTTAGCCCTCTCTATTTTAGATGTAATTATATCTTCCCATTACTTTCTCACCATAAAGATTCATCTCCCAAAGACCAAAAGCCCATGGTTGATAACTACAGTATATCTGCCCCCAGCAATTAATGATTTCGACCGCAATGAAAGGTGGTCTGAACTTTCGTCTTGGCTCCATGATCTCCAAACAACTAACCCAGGACTCCCTCAAATCCTCTTAGGCGACTTTAATGCAAGAATAGGTCCCAACGACGATGATATAATATCTTCCGCAGCACTCCTGGACAATCCCCTGCAGCCCCCCTGGGGAAATAGATGCTCTCTTGATCCTATAACAAATGCGTCGGGGAGGCTGATGGCCCAACTGGCCATGGAAAACGATCTCTGCATCGCAAATGGTAACATTACTCCCTTGTCCTCGCAGCAATTAACGTGCATCACTTCCCGGGGAACCAGTGTTGTCGACTACATTTTATTGACGCCGGAGCTATTCTCAATTTCTACAAAAATGGAAGTGGCTGAATATTTTGGTGGTGACCACCTTCCATTGACTCTAATGTTAAACCTAATAGAGCCACTCCCAGTCTCCTCAAACTATAGAACCATGGTACAAAGCCACCCTGTATACAAAACAAAGAAATGGACAAGCCTCAGCTCCTCTCTTGCCCTGGACATACAAAAATCATTTGATATGTCTGCAGTTCCCTCTGATCCAATCCTGCCCGCTGACCAATACCGGAAATTACTTGATGCTTTCTCAACAACTTACATAACCACCACCTCGCCTACTTACCAACGCCTCTTCTCTGAATCGCCCTGGTTTGACAAGGAATGTAAAGCCCTAAGAAGGCGAATTAGGAAAATGGTCAGAATCATCAAATCTTCCAACGACCCCCAAACCCGTGCAAAGCTCATAGATATTAAAAGGACATATAGAAACATGATTCATTGCAAGAAACAGCAGTACATCTTTGAGGCTTGGTCCACTCTTCGTTCGGCTGTAGAGAGGCATGACTCCCGCTCCTTCTGGCGCCTAGTTAGACCTTCGGCACCATTCAATCCAGCTACCCAGATTTCCGCGGATGAATGGATTGCTTATTATTCAACTAGTTTCGCTTCTCCAAACCATCTTACAGATCTCCTTCAATCCCCATTGGACCTCAGTTCCTGCTCTCTTAGTCCCACTTCTTCAATAAACTTTACTTCAACTCGCATTTTCAACATCATAATGTCAATGCAAAGGAATAAGGCCCCGGCCCAGACATGGTCCCGTTGGACCTTTTCCTGACTGATCCTCTTTGGTGGAGCGAACACCTGACTCCTGTATTCACCGCTATCTCCTCCGCCCTAGACATCCCCGACTCCTGGAGAGAAGCTATAATAGTTCCGATCTTCAAAGGCGGCCAGCCAAACATCCCTAGGAACTATCGCCCCATCAGCTTATTATCCATCCCGGGAAAATATTTGCCGCTGTTTTACTGGAGGAACTTCTCTCATGGGTCCAGGAGAGGAACATTCTACCGCTAGAACAGATTGGTTTCCGAAAGTCAGCGTCAACCATGGACCATTGTCTAACTCTCTTTCACCTTGCCAGTAAATACACTGCTCCAAGGCAAGGCCACCTATTTGCCGCTTTCATGGACCTGGAGGCCGCCTTTGATTCCATTCCTAGGCAGAGATTATGGTCCAAACTTGCCCATCTGGGAATTGATCCGCACCTTCTCTCCCTAATTATCTCCCTTTATTCAAACACCACAGCTCGCGTCCGAACTAGTCCAAACGGCTCCCCACTACTCCATTTCCAACGGCCAAGGGCGTCCGACAAGGTTGCCTCTTGGCCCCTTTACTGTTTAATCTCTATCTTCATGATGCAATTTCCACTTTGAAGCTAGCATCTAAGTATCCTCCTCACTTAGCAGGCCACCCCGTTGCTTCCCTTTTCTATGCTGATGATGCCGTCATCTTATCCAGAACAGCTGCGGATCTAGCAAATGCAGTTAATGCATTTATCGCCTATTGTAAGGCGGAAGCTCTTAATATTAATTATAAAAATCGAAAGTCCTCCACTTCACTCGTTCCCGCAAACTCAAGTTGGAGCCGCTTAAGATCACAGGTGGCTACTTAGAAAAGGTAAAAGCCTTTAAATATCTAGGATTAATATTCACCTATAATCTCTCCTGGACCACCCATCTACAATCTGCCTTTCTCGCTGCAACCACGACCTCTAACGCCATTGTCCGATTTTACCACCAGAAGGGCGGCAAACACCTTCCAGCAGCAATTCAAATATTTAATGCCAAAGTCGTCCCTAAATTATTATATGGATGTGAAGTATGGACTACAGCAATATCAGGTAACCTGGATCGTCCACTTCATATGTTTCTGAGATCTCTTTCCGGCGTCCCGAGATGTGTCTCAGGTGCAGCCCTACGACTCGAGTTCGCCCAGCCTTCAATTGCTAGACGAGCATGGAGCCGAGCCATTTCCTACACCCTCCACCTATTAGCATCGGATGCTCGAATTAGAGGTGGCTTTTCCAATCTGATCCTAAGAGATATTCATAATTCCCCTTGGAAAACTACAATTAACCTCAAATTCCGCTCTCTTCTCAATTTGAATTGTAAAACTGTTCTTAACTTAGAGTGTATCAGCCCGGTGGCCCTACCCCTAATTAAAAGAAACTACAGCAACTTGACTTCTCCAACACAGCTTCTTGTGCAAGAGGACCGTGTTCAGGCCTAGCCCTAGCTATTCCACCCCCTGAAGGGATCCCTCTATACTGCTTCACAATTTCTTCGGAGACTAAGCGAAGGGCTTTTACCTGTGCCCGTCTCAACTGTTTTCCTACAGCAGTTCTGTCGGGTCGTTATTCCAGAGTTCCCATCGCAAACAGAACATGCTCCTGTAATGACACGGCCCTGGAGACTATGGAACATGTAATGCTCTTCTGTCCCAACTGGACAGATGAAAGATCTCGGTTTTTAACTCCCCTCGTGAATAAGTTCCATCTCCCAATCCAGCCTTGGATAGTGTCCCTCTTTTTGCAGGATTCTGATTGTTGGATTACTGAGATGACAGCTAACTTCCTGCTTAGTGTGATGAAGAGGAAAGCGGCACTAACTTCTTCCTTAACACCACAGATGCAGTCGATACGCCGCACAACCGAACGAAGTTCCAAGTAGCCTTATTGTACAAGGACAATCGAGTTAGGACTAATCTGAGGAGCTGAAGGACCCTTTAACGGTCCTCCTCCAGCCTCAGCAGCTTTTGTTTTTTTTTTTTTTTTCCCCCTTCATTTTCTTTAAGTATTCGCCCAGGACGATGTCTACCTCTACCTCCCCACCCCCATTTTATGTTGTTATTTCAATGTATATCATGCTATGGCCACTCGGCTAATGCAATAAATAAATCTAAATGTAGTATTGTTCCAAGGGATTTTTTTTAAGGGTCATGTTTGAAGGCAACCAGTGCAGGGCCCCATTTTCCCCCACAATGACTCTTGCAATGATGCTGTGTCATGTTGTAATACGACTCTGCATCATTATGGAGATTTAGACACAGTGGCCAGAAGCAGCAAGGAGCTTCAAGTTGTGAATTTTGCATTCCTATCTTCAGAATTCATGCCTCCAAAACTATCCAACATACCCCCCCCCCAGAGTGTCTCAATAGAGTCATGAATGTTCAAGGGGAGGATTTTCTCTCAGCCCTAGAAAATTGCTGCTAGAATAGTTTTGAAAATACCATACCCTCCAATATTCCTCAGATGAAAATAGGGACATTCTATTCTACATCAGTATCACTGCTTGAGCATCTCCTCCTGGAAAATACAAATCATGTCCTCCATCACGGAGAGCACGTGTTGCGGTGAGGTCACCCAAACTGTCCTGCTGTTGCTGGGGTGGGTATGATTGGATGGCCTCAACTCCCGATTGGTTGCCCCTCGGTTGCTGGGGAAGGAATTTGGCTCAGGGAGCTCATGATTGGCAACTGAGGGGCTATTTATATCCCTGCATGTGTCGTTGAGCTTCCTCTTTTCGCTACATGCACAGGATCACCCTCCCTCCCTCCCTCCCTCCCTCCCTATATTTAGGGGCTTATTGACCTTGCTATGCCTGTCATGGGGTCGTCTGCTTTGGAGTAGGGGCCTGGTAGGAATTTTGCCATAGACTGATTGGCTGGTGCCTTTTGGTTTTTGCCTACTGCATAGGCAAATCGTCACAACTTTGTAAGGTTGGCGGTTAGGTATTGGTTCAATTGGTTGGTGGAGGGATGTGATTGGCTGTGCCTGCCCCTCCAAGTTGCTGCTGCAAGGCTATTCTGTTAAAGGAATCCAGGGGCTTGCTTTGCTCTTGCCTGAACCCCTGTCAAGGGGCTAGGGCCATGCCAGAGCCCCTGGGAGCATTTGGGGTGAGGTTAGAGACTGCTGTACAGCTCAGTCCTCCCTCAGATTGTTTTCCCTTACTGACGTCTGCCGGAGTCCAGGCGTCAGTGCTGCCCTGCCAAGGTCAGGTGCAGCTAGTCAGGAACCAATGCCTAAGCAACCACTCACATGCTGTAATCAATAAAGTTGTGGCCAAAATTATGCCAAAAACCTTAAACCATAATTCTGTGTCTATTGTGAATTATTTCAAGGGCAGTTTGGGAACCTTAACACGCAAAAGGTATTTGAGGAAACACATGTAACTTCAGTATCTTAAGCACAGAAATCTCTGAATTTATGTATTGCATTTAGGGAAAAAGAAAGCCCCAAATCAACAGATACAACTAACTTAACAATATAGGCATCCCACTTACACGTGCGACTGCGTATACACGCAGCACTGGGAAATAATTTAGTAATTCATTTCAAACCCTGAAATTGCAAGAGAGAGCTGGACAGTCCTCGTGGCTCATGAGGAGAAGCTTCCCGGAGCCTGAAGAGGACATCATTGAGGGTGGAGGAAGCCCTGAAGCGCAGTGGGGCTTTGTTGACTTTGCTCAGCCTCTCTGCCCAACAACTGATGTACTGGGTAGCGCAGCAGCAGCTGCCACTTTCCCACTTTTCCTCCAGCCTCCTGCCATTCCCAGAGAATCAATTCTAATTGTCGATATTTGTGTGTGCAGTATTTTTGGTATGGATTGATAAAAGAGGGTGTTTAGAGGGTGCTCCCCACTTTATGTGATTTCACTTATGTGCATGGGGCCACTGAACAGAACCCCATGTAAGTGGGGAGTCACCTGTAAATACAAAATTATAAAAATAAACATAATTGTTTAATACAAAAACAAAACCATGGGTGAAAAGTATTTATTACAAACAGTCTTGTTAACCAACCAAACAGTTGCTCTTCAATGCTATTGCTTCCACTTTCAACCGGAGTTTTTAAACAACAACACTTCCTACAGAACCCTCAGAGAA